GACTGCTCTTTTGAAGGCCAGATCCTGAAGATGAAACTCAAATACTTCGGCCACCTAATGAGAAGGAAGGACTCCCTGGAGAAGAGCCTAATGCTGGGAACAATAGATGGCAAAAGGAGAAGGGGACGGCAGAGAATGAGGTGGCTAGATGGAGTCACTGAAGCAGTCGGCGTGAGCTTGAGTGGACTCCAGGGGATGGTGGAGGACAGGAAGGCCTGGAGGAATGTTGTCCATGGGGTCACGATGGGTCAGACATGACTTTGCGACTAACAACAACAACAGTAAGTGGGAAGAAGGGCAGCTGCGGAGGGACGGGGGCAAGGCAGCCCAGGGCCTAAATAAACACGCCTGTTTTGGCTTGGCTCTTTGTACTTCATTGTTGTGAGCCGCCCCGAGGCTTTGGCGAATGGGGCGGCATAGAAATGTTTTAATAAATAAAAACAATAATAAAATAAAAGTTGTAGTGATGGACCCCAGTCTGGATGGCTTTAAAGAGGAGGGGACAGACTCATGGGGAAGAAGGCTATCAGTGGCTACTAGTCTTGATGGCCACATGCTTCTCCTGAGAGCGGAGGCAGTATGCCTGTGCAGTATGCCTGTTGATTCTGCCATCGTCTAAGGACCAATGCAATAAACAGTCTCTCCATATGCACCTCTTGCTGGAGAAAACAAGCAGAAGAGTGCTGTTGCACTCGGATCCTGTTGTGGGTTTCCCATGGCCACTCTGTGAGCAGAATTCTAAACAGACTCTTGCTCTAGTCTAGCGTGACTCTTCTCATGTTTGCTATTCAGTTTTATTTATTTAAAACTTTTTTAGACCATCCCTTACTGAAGTGTTGGGATGGTTTAACAATAAGACAAAAAAAAAAAAAATAGAACACAGCATCCTAATCAATTTCTGACAATAAAACCCATATGAAAATAACAGTCAAACCGTAAAATATTGGGGAAATAAAAAGGTTTTAGCCTGGCACTGAAAAGAATGAAGTGATGGCACCAGACGAACCTTTCTGGGGAGTGAATTCCACGGTCTGGGTTCCACCACCGAGAAGGCCCGTCTCCGGGTAACCACCCTGCTGATCTCCTTCAAGAAGGGCTCCCAGAGAAGGGCTTCTGCCCCAGATCTTAAGGGGGGAGCAGGCACATACGGAATGAGATGCTACTTCGGGTAACCAGGCCCTAAAGCATCCATGCAGATGAAGAGAAAGATGGAAAGGCCAGGTCCACAGCACTGGGGTGGGAAGGGAGGTGTTTGACCCATGGCATTCAGTGGCATCTTCCCACATTGGTGATTTACCCTCAAGGTGAAGAGCACAGCAGGGTCATCCTGGGTGGTGACCTGCATGTTTCTTCCTGGAGTGAGGCTATCAAACAACTGCACCCTGGATGATCACAGCTAGAAATATGAGTCTCCGCATTGCATTTCCTTCTGGTCTCACTGTTTACCACTTTATGTACTGCATAAAGCACTATGTACTCCATAGTGCTCCATGTATGTGATGAAGTGGACTGTACCTCACATGCCAGGATATGTTAGACTCTAAGGCAGGGGTCTCCAACCGTTTTGGACCCATGGGCACACTTGGGGAACATGGATAGAGGGGGAGTTGGGAGAGAAAAGGCAAAGCCAGAGCCTAGGAATGAGAAGAAACTGTATTGTCTCCTGGCATCTTGAGCACCTGGCTGGTGGCAGGCTCAGGAGCAGAATCAGGAACAGAACCTGTTCACAACCCAGGTATAATGATTAACCAATATTAAACAAGGCTCGTGTCTTTTTGTACAAAGCTTAAACAATGCTGTCTCTTGATAAGCAATTTTTTTTATTTTTGCATTAACTCCAGAATGTTGTGGAAAGAATCTGATCATTGTTTTAGGGGAATTGTCACTTTCCCCTCTTTTCTCTTCCCAAATATACCTTTGTTCAGTGTGTGACCTGAGGAGAGCTGATTTCCTTACACAAAGCGCTGTTAACAACAAGCTGTTGTGCTTTCCCTCTCTTCCTCTCTCTTTTAGCAAACAGTACAAACCGTATCAGCTAAAGTAAACTTCCCACAAATAACAAGACTCTGTAGGATGACCTAAACTTCTTCCTGTAATCTTTCTGTGAAAGGCAGAACTAAAAACTAGGTGAGGGTAAAGCATGCCAAGATGCAAACATAAATATAACAAACCATCAGATACATGCCTCGAATGGACGTCATGAGATTGCTCAAGAATATTTTCTGCTCATTTAAAACCAGAACTCAGCCTGTTTGCGCCTAGAATGTGAATGCATTTTGCAGGACAACATTCACACATTCCTCAGCTTCCAATACGCATCTGCAAAATACATACTTTAGAAAAATGGAGGCTTCAAAAGCTGTGTGCGAAACAAGCTTTCCTGAACTACAGTCCATCGTTCAAAGCTCTGGCCTCTTTGTCATGATATCAATCTACCAATCTACCTGCTGCTAGATTTGCTCCAGTGAAAGGGCTGAAGAGCCCTACTCATGGTCTCTTTCATTCCAGGACCACACCGGCAAAGGAAGCACATCTGACCTAGCCATCCAGGCACCAGGCACCATGCATGACCAAGATGCAGGCCCTCTCTCCAGGAGCTGAATCCCATAAGCCCTTTTTGGAGATCCGCAGTATTTCCCAATCCTGGTGCATAAAGCTGCATTGGCCAAAGTTCCTTCTGCTACATGCCACTCAAAGCCAGGGCTGTCTTTCAGCTTGTGCGCCGAGACTAATTTTGCAGAAACTCCCAGGGGATGCCTTCCAGAATCATGTAGGGTCAAAAATAAACAGCTTTTTTCTAGCTGAAAGCTCTTATTGCCAGTAACCAAGCTCTGGAGGAGGGATTTCAATAGTTTGGAGTGGGGGGAGCCCATTGGCAGTTGAGGAGAAGGCGTGTGGCCAGGGGAAGAGGGAGTAGCCACTTGGAGAAGAAGCTGAAGAAATGGAGCCCAAGTGGATCAGTTTTGGCCTCTGAGTCCCAGAGTCTGCACTCGTTGCTTCCATCGCTGGAACGGGGGGGGGGGGGGGGCCTTCCTGGGCCTAATAGACTGTGTGTATGCTTGGGGCAGCACCAAGCCCCCTCCCTGCCCACTGAGGAATCTTTGCACGGTGAGCTTCTGGATTCTAGCCCCAGGGTCCTGTCCCAGCTGCCCGACGAGTTCACAAGCAGCTCTGATTGCCTGACACAGACATGGGCTGGCACTGAACCAGTACACGCGC